ATTTTCGATAAAAGTGCACGACAAAATCGCATTTTAAAATCAGGAAATTATCCATAACTTGGCACCGGAAGGGAATTTTCCAAAAAGCGGAATTACATAAAAAATTCATATAAGGACCCATAATTCCTGAAAATTTCATTGAAAACGGCTGAATAGCTCTCGAGAAATCGCCTGCACAAAATTTTGGAAGAAAAAAGAATAATAAGAAACAGTAGAAACAGGAGAAACAGTAGAATCACTATAAGGTCTTCCGTGAAGACGGAAGACCTTAAAAATAATCTGTAGATAAAACAAATTCTGCTCCACATAGTTTTTTTTGTCCAGAAGGTGAAGTTGTCCAAGTGTCTGGATTTACAGAGTCCTGATTATTGAGACTCCACTGTAATAGGAAAACTAAGGGATATTCTAGGGCTTGGTCAGGTCTTCACAATATCTACTTACTTTTATCAGCTCTAGTCTGTAATACTTACAATCATTAAGGAAATTTTATTTTCACAATCAGACAAAAATTTGTACATATATAAATAAACTTTACTGGGCAAAATGTCCCACACATATAGACTTTCTCTATTATTTGCCCTGTGTAACAGGATTATATAGCCAGGTGACTAAGAATTACATAGGTGTTATTTACAACAAGCTAATTTTGTCCAAAAACCACCGAATACACACTAAAGAACAATTCATAGTGTTCAAAACACATGCGTGTTTAAATGGTCTTCACGCTTCTAAATTTGACCAATGTCGCCAGGAAACTTGTGTCCAAAGCTTATATTACTAGCCCTCCCATTGGTCTAGTGTTTAACTACCTACACAGGCTGGAGTCTTGTTGTTTTGTGTCGGAGGGGAAAGAATACAATATTTTTGTCTGGTCACTCCTGAAACAATGAGTCACAAGCCCCCCTGGCAAAAGAATTAGTAAGATTTAATATAATGTGTGATAACCACAATTGTATAAATTGAAGTGTTTAACTGGCATGTGCTGTAAATTAAAATTTCTACCTGTGTGGTTTCAACAGACAAACAAGGTGTTAATTTGACTGTTTGGCGACATTTATATCACGTGATGACCAACATTTCTCTTCATCATTCATATTTCCTAGTGTTTATGCTGTTTATGAATGGAAATCATTACAAAACAATCGCCTTAATGAATGTTTTTTAATTACAACTCATCATTTCCTTGCCTCCCCGTAGAAAAATATTTTTGAATGAGAATTTCTCCCTTCCAAAGGGAGTGTAAAGGATTGTCCTGCCAAATAAAAACATCCTCATATTTTTGATATTTTCCTTTAAGAGGTTCCAAAGAACAAGTGTTTATAGCTGAAAAACTAATTTGAGAAAGAGCTGCTAACTATGCTATCTGCAAATTTGTAGGAATTAAAGTTGTCTATTTGAGACTGAACCCCTCCCCCCTCCAAACCCCCTCCACAAAATAAGCATTTAACTCATTTAGTTTTCAATAGCATTTGTTTTGATTCTCTTAGATATAAACAAGTTCTAATGGGACATGATGCTTAGCTTTACAGTTAACAGACAGATGGACAGACAAAGTACTTCAAGTATTATCCCCCTTTTCATTTTAGGATGTATGAAAAGTGACACAGAAGGCAGTGAAATCCCCACTTCCCATTTAAACTTAGTGACTTCTCTTGACAATACTTTAATCTGTCTTTTATCTCACAAACCTACCTCAGAGAAAATGAAACTGATTGTCATAAATGTATAACAGGCGTTAGTCAAGACCACACACAAGGTGTAAATACCAACGATTTATCCTTGAAAATCATTAATTTTCAGTACCTTTAACCTTTCAGGAGGCAAATCTTCAGCATGTTAAATGTATTTGCGCAAATTCTAGTCTAAAATGTTCCTGAAACATATGGATATTTTTTTAAAAAGATACTTCAATTAGTCTAATTGTTTTACTGGTAATGATATCAGTTTTATTCGTCGTAATATAGGATCCGTTCTGCGACCTCTGAAAAGAGAATGCCTGTCACCTGCATGAAAACCAATGAACGGTAAATGATTTCCTCTCAATAAGCTCAATTTAGATGTTCCTGAAATTCATTATACCCATTTTTCTCTTGCTGTATGACAGCACTATTAAAAGGCTATCATATTATAGGCTCTCCACATCTCTACAGTATCACGTAATTCTTGTATTATCACTACTGACAATCACATTTTCCCTCCTAATGTTCTTATTCAAAGTGGGGACCTGGTGTATATGATGCACATTTATTAATCACCCTTGTGCGTGATTCAACTGCAATGCACAGAAAATTAGACACCTGATGTAAAGGGTAGGCCTTTCACCCTATAACGCTCAATCGGAGAATTATTACACATCCCCAATTTGCACATTTAAACAAGGGAGATAATTGAGGAATATTGTATAACTTCTCTTCTTCTTAAAAAATAAAAATGAATTATTCATTAATTTCCCAATACTTAAAATAGGAAATAGTAGAATATTAAAATCATATTATTATTTGAATGCATTAATTAAAATTGTTTTTTATTCCATTAAAAATAAATCCATTGGGAAAATATTGTATGGCCACAAAAGACCAGTACTGCTTGCACATTTTTTTTTCTGAAGATGAACATAACAGGAGTTATAAGCAATATTTTGTGATATTCTGTTCCTATAGAAACACATGCAGGTGATTTTCAAATACTATAAAGCCAATTTGGTATCGACGACTTAAAATGCTCCTTTTTTTTGTACTTTTTTCTCTCTCTCTCTCTCTCAATTTCTCCGCTGTTGATGAGCCAATGAATAAATTATTTCAAACAAAAGAAAAGCTTAAACACTACCCCAAAGTAAACAAAGACTTGATCACCAGCGGTTTTTGTCGAGGTCTACCATTCCTTAGCAATGCCTAACCATTTCCAATGGTTTCCATTAATTACAACATTTCAGTCTTGAGGGAGAATCAAAGGTCTTCCCATTTCAAAATTTCTGATTAGAATATTGTTATTTTTCTTTGTAACTTGCCATCTGCCTAATTTTTAAAAAAAAAAAAAATTTCATAATTTTGAAAATGTTCACTTTATATTTTTTATCATAATTACTTCGCTTAACTATCATTCACATAATTAAAACGTCAATGATGTGTTTTTCCAGTTGCTAATATAATTGCACGATGCAATCCAACATCTCATCAATTTTAATTTTTTTAAGTAATTGTGTCTTCGAAGTGATTTAAAATCAAACAAGATTTACCGAGGAAACTATTTGAATGATTACTGTAATAATATTCAGTAAGGGTGCAACAATTAATATATCGTAAACAGCCATCTGAAATATTGAGAATATTAAAATGATTTTGGTGATTATATCATTTGTACAAGAAAATCATTTAATATTTCTACTTTTCACAAAAATTGTGGATTTTCCAGAAACCAATATTAATATTCATTTTCCAATCTTGACCTAAAAATTGACCTTTGGCAAATAAAAATATTGGCGACATTTTAATAACACAACTCTTTAATTCAAAGTTTCTCTGAAATTTTTTCAACCTTTTTTTTTCTTGAGAAACTCAGGTACAACATCCCAAAACTAATTAATGCAGAAATGACAGACATTTAGTTGACAGGAAAACAGAACAAAATTAATTACTTTGTTCTTTTGAAGAGGGAGGGCAAAAATTCAAAGTAAACTATTAAATATCAAAACCTTATAGTTTTAGTAAAGTCACACATGCATGGAGCCAAAATCCAAATCACATCCTTAAGGCAGCTCTTGATGAATTTTAAATCTTCAAACAGGAGGTTAGGACGAGACAAAAGACAAGCAATTCAGTCCCCTAAAGTTTGTAGGGACTTTGGGTCTAATCTGTATATTAACACCTCTAACATTCAATATCTACTTAGCACATACAGCCCTCTGGTCCCAGACTACCCTGCCAACCACAACCGCCAGAAATCAGACGGAAGGTCTACCACAACATCAAATAATTGTCCAACAATCAGAATTAGCAAGCGGTATACCAACAAACCAAATCCCAATAAATATACATAAGTTTTATATACCCTGAAGTTATAGACCATGCTGCAGCATGATAGGTATATGTTAAACGTTCACGTTAACAGGGCAAAACTTGTCTCAGCCAATACTACAGCAAAATAAAATATTAACTTGTAAGCCAATGTTCTGCAGTCTTTTCAGCGCTGTCAAAAAAGTGATTCAAAAAAAGAGTCTGCCTTTTTTTTTCTTTGGTTTTAATTTTCTCCTTATGCAGAACAGTTTGCCATTTATCAAATGGAGACAAAAAGGAGTAAGAGACAAATATATTCAAACACGACAGTATTACATGGACATGAGATCAAATTATCCAGGTACAGTCACTTTTTTTTTTCAACATTATATTTTTTTGTTTTGGTCTACAAAATAAGGTTGTTATATGTCTTTGCTTGAAGAACCCCTGTTTAATTAATGCTGTTCTTTAAAACCGATTTTCTTTTAATGTCAAGGCTTTATTTCTTATAAAAGCCATGCCCACAATGTCCTAGCTTTCCCTCATGGGTCTTATATTAAATCATTTGTCAAAGAATCATTAAAACTGAACTTACTCTTCTAAAAGGCAACGTAATAGGACGTCTATAGAGAATTACGTCCAACAAACTGGGGGGAAAATTCCTCTAGAAAGCTATTAATGTTTTCTTAAAAAGGAGTCTAAATTGAATTTTAAACAAAGGTTTGCTTCCACTTACTTACCTCTAATATTCACTGCATTCTTCCATCTCACTTCTGTCCCCTTGCATCAGAGTTGGGGTATATAGTTACACGATTGTTTGTGTGTGTGTTTGTTTGATAGGTCGTCCTTTTGTGAAACGGAAGTGGCATAATTTTCATCGAGATCGATGTCGAATGGTGTCTTTATAGATATGCTCTTTGTGAGGGGATGCTGCTTTGCAGTGCCCTCGTCTTAATTTCTAGTATGTACAGTACAAACAGTTTCATACTGTGCTATATGTCTACTTACATCATTTGCAGTATCTCTGACAAGTACCAATTCTTCGGTGCCCCACTACCTGTCCCCCCTGAGCTCTGACTTTGACTTTTCTCGGACGGATGACCATTCAGATTTTGTCCACCTTGACCGTCCTTTCCGGACATGTCTTATCGCTGAATTAATAAGCTTCTGTGATGTTCAAATTTTTTAATCCTCCCTGTAAATACAAAACATATTCAGGCATGCAAGTACGTTACAGTAGAATATTTTCAATATTGACCTTCTAATTCAACAGTTTCCTGGAAATACTTCAAATGTCAAAATTCTAATATAAAGTGTAATATATATTAATTCTTTGCAGTTAAGCTATAAAGTTGTATTTATTGGAAACATTTATCTTTTACATTCATTTAACACAAATCTTTGCAATATAATCATTTAAAAATTAAGCTACAGTATTATTAATTAACTTTAACACAAGGCTATAAGGGGGGATAAAGTTGAACAAGTACAGTAGATGCCAAGTCAGTGCCCTTTGTCTAAGATCCCTCACATGTTAAAAGGTTTTTGAAAATTAATAAACTTGTTTTCTTAACATCAATATGCAAAACTTGAACATATATCAAGTAATTCTGACAGTCATTTTTTGTTTTGAAAATAATTCCATCAAGTATTAAAAGGCCAATGACTTCAAATGGACAACAATAACATTTTAATTAGGGATCTGAACTTTCTTTACACAATTCTGATTTTTTATTTCAATTATAGTTTTTTTTTTTTTTTTTTTTTTTTTATGATGATGAGTGATTTGCTGTAGATTTTTCAAATAGCTAGGTGAAAGTGTAGTTTATTGTGCCATCTGCTACAGTAGTCAGTTTTTTTTATTATGTATATAACTTTAAATTTCAGGAAGCAGACATCAGACATTTTATAAGAAATAACTTTTAAATTATTATACAAATGTAATGATCATGCATCTATACATTAGCTATAACTTTTGCACTGTCAGAGAAAGCTTTAAAACATCATGTACATAAAAACAACATATGACAATCCTCATCTATAATCAACATGATCATTTTATATAACATTACAAACACTACCAACACTTAATTAGTACCTTGTTAATTGGACTAATAGAATACCTTCTTTGGCTTTCCACAAACCACCACCCTAAACTTCTATTACCGACTAAATTTCCTATTTAACTCTACCACATTTCCCACAATGCCTTACCGGAGGCCCTTAGACTGTGGTTCTGTTAACGCAGCAAGTTAACATTTACCACAAACACTGAACTAATACACATGTATAACATTCAAGTTTCCATAATGCCTGGAAGCTCCACTTTCTAAACCTACATGGTGAAAATTGATAGCTTCCTTCTCATATTTTAACCATGTAATGCATGAAAATCAGAGATGAATATTTAAGCAATGAATTTAACAGCAATTTGAGGCAATTAATTTACACTTTATAAACAGCAAAGCGCAGGTTTATAATAAACCATAAACTGCTCCAACCCAGGTTATACCTGGAATACTTGGGTAGCTATTAAAAATATTCCTTTTAATTTAATTTTCCACTATGAAGCATTGAAATTAAGTCAAATTATATATGCTTTTAAGGTATTCTGATCCCTTCTGATGTAAGTCATAGTGACGTAGGCACTAGGTAACCCAGGTTATAATTAATGCACAGAAATGGTTCAAATTCAGATGAAAGTTACAAAGCACAATAAAAGTCAGCTGTACATGTACTACTAGTATATGTTACCATGCACAAAATTGTTAATTTCTGGTACAAAATACTTCTTTACTGCGATTCTCGGTCAAATACGACGTGGAATGTTAGTTATTTTGTCTCTTACCCCATCTAACAGTTTCATTTCCGCTCTTATATATTTTTTTAACGTTCAACTCACATTAAGTGACTTAACATGCAAAGTCACTTCCCCAAAATATGAGAGGAGATACTTGATTGCCAGTACCGAAGCACTTCCATCAATTGCTTTATATTTGAATTTCACACTTACTGCTTTGATCCTTATTCAAACACTCAGCCACTCTTGGAAATATTCATCTCAGTCTACAACATAAAAAAAATCTTTGATTACTCTTCTATCATAAGATGTATTGTCTACATCTATAGTAGCTTGATCCTCACAAGGGCCATCAAACTGCATTGCAAAATTTCTGCATTTTGTCCTTTAGAGGTGTGCGGGCAATAAGACTCTGTTTGTATGTTACTTTTTAACTTTTCATTCAATCTCTAGGTGAACTGAATGCACTTTTGGTCTAAGAATTGAAAATTATGCAAGTAATTTTCTACAGTATTAGTTCAATATAATGTTTTCATAGTAATATATATTTTTTGTTTACTGAGAAATCACTAGTTTTTATTGTCATTTAATTTTCGTAGTTTAAGAGATATGGAGAGACCCTCAAAATCATGATCATCACGAAATGTAAATCAACACTTCTCCGACCACAAAATCAAATCCCTACAAACCAATCTTTTAATCCTCGAAAATTTGACTCCAAGAAAATATGTGATTTTACAGTATATGCATGTACATTAATTCTTATTCCTTAATGATTATTATTAAGTGTCTTATTTTATTCTTATCCTTTTTCAGATCAATCATTCAATAATAATCATGAAATTAAATTATTTCTGTGACAATATTTTTGCACGTTGACATGTATTATGCTTTGCCTTTGTTCATTCTTTTGGATGCATAATGCACTAAAGAATGTATGTGTAAACTGCCCATGAAAAGCAGTTCAGGATGCATATATGTTCTATAACATAATTGAATGTAAAAAACAATTTCAAACAAGAACAAAATGAATAAAATTCCTTAAATCCTCATTTATAATAAAAAAAAAAAGCACATGTCACTTAGCAATGACAAGTCCTGCTTTAAATTGACATATTTGGCATTTACACAAAATTTGAAACAAAGGTGCTTCATGCACAACCAAACATTTCTCAATCAAGAAAAATGAAACATACATAAAAAAAAAGGCGCGATGTCCTTGTTACAGCACAAACAAGGTTTATAATCCCCCGTATAACATTGGTATAAATATGTTTTATGTCTGCGACCCAGTGCTCTATAGAAGGCGACTTTGCTGTGTCAATCCATTGCTGTCTGCCTATATGTCATTCCCTTACGAGGGGCGCAAGGAGCCCGCATCTCCGAAATCATCTTTTATGGTTTATGTGTTTATTAGTCGTTAGAGCTTCTCTCGCAAATCTGTTAGCCACAAAACCTTTCGCCCTCATGATTGTGGGGAGACACAGCTTTGGTAACCCTGGCCACCACAAAAATTGTAAATGCGATTCTGGCTATGCAGGATTCAGCGTTTGACTGTAAGTACAAGCATTCTTCTCATGTGAAATTTCTTTTAAAGTGGTGAAAGATCATTTGGCCCTGATTGCCTAACCATGTCCAAACACTAATTATCATCAGTCCAATATCCTAGTAGGTTTTAACTGTTTTACACATATTCCGCAGAACATCTAATTCGATTTGCTTTAATTTTCAGTTTAATGCAATTAAGAGCTAATTTGTATTTTTCAAAAGAAATCATTTTTTTCTTTTGAAATAATTTATTTGAATATCTATATACTTTTTGCAAATGAAACACCTGTAACTTTCTGACAGGTGTGAATTTCTGTGTAAGGACACATTAGGTAAATGCCTTTAATATTACCTCCATTTTCAAAAATGGTGATGTTGTGAAACCCTGATACTGCTTCGAAATGATATTTCACAAAATGCCTTGAATTCTTGCCATATTTTAATGTATAATCATTAAAATAATAAAATATGTAAACAGTATAAATGCCAAGGCAAAGAAATTCAATTACGGAGATGAAAAATTACACATGAAAATGGCACAACATAATTTAAAAGTTAGTCAAGTTCATTTAACATTTTCTTAAACTAATTAATGACAAATAGTTAGATAAGTATAAACATCAAAATATATTAAATTATTTTTCACATAGAAAATTACGCAAATTTGGCATCAAAAATAGCTCAGTGCATTACTCATTTTGTCAAGAAAATGAGGTGTAAGCGAAGCTGCCAAAAAATGAATATTTGGTCATTAATTCAAATAAAATGAACAATATACCAATTAAAAAAAAATATTTTGACATATTCAAAGCAAACATTAATTGTAACAATCATATAATTATTTTTTCCAATACAAAGACGACAGGAAATGTGGACAATTGCTTGGACAATATCGCATTGTCTTTAGCATACTGAACATATCACCTTCCGAAGTGTAACGCAAAGATTTAACCTGTTTACTTGTTTTAAATTAGCATATATTTCAATAAATAAATATGAATCTTACACAAGAAAATGAATTACCCTTGTCTACAATTTGTTCATTATCAATTAAGTACCTAAGTAATAAATGGTGGCTTTATTCATTCAAAAGTATGTACCAAATGAATTTAAAATTTATACGCATCAAATAAAGTGCTATGCTTCATTTTCAATTGAGACCTATTATCATAACTTTGGTAATCTCAATCAATAATCCATATTACTCACAGTCAAACCTTGTTATTTCAAACCTGATGGGACCAAAAAAAAAATCTATTAATCAACACTGCTTCATTAATATTTATATATTTGCTTCAAGTTATTGGTGCATGATATTATATTTATATACATTATGCTGACTGTTGTAATTAATATATGATATATAACACAGTGAACATGCATAAAATCTTCAAAAATTGGTTGCATGCTTATTTATTTTGGTTACTAGTATTTTCTCTAAGAGTTTACAATCATCTTTATTTTCTGTTTTGTTAGTAAGACTTATTTGTTTGCATATTTTCATTGATAATTTTCTTTTACATCCTTCAATCAAGCGTCATATAAAAAAGCGTTTTAAAATTAACGATCCATGTAATTAGTTTGAATCTTTGTTGTACACATTTCTAAGTTCCTTAGTAATATAACTGTTTTCAAATAATATTTGTTATTTTCTACTTCTTGTGTCAATTGTATAAATTAAGATTATATATATAATAAAATTATATCAATGAGTGTGGATGGTCTTTTTAAGAATTTTCTTCAGTAACTCTCTAGTGTGTTTACATATAAATCCTTGCGAGAATAGTAGGGTATGGGTTATATAGAGACAAACTGACAGGAAGCATAATAATATATAATAATACAGTAAAACATAACCATTAGGATAGTGAACATGCATAAAACAAACTAATGCTTACAGCGAAGTGTTTTTCATTCCCCAAGAGTTTACAATATATTGTAAACTTGATTGGATACACAAATTATATTGCATATAATGAAGCAAAATTATCCATTTCTTGGCACTTTGTTGATGAAAAAATTTGATAATAAAGAAAATTTGTTTTTGAAACTATCAATCCATAATTCAAGATATCAAAGTTCAAAATAACAAAGTTCAACTGTATTTCAATTTTTAAGTATTTTAAAAACATTTCAGCATGAACTCTTGCAATTTATGTGAAGAAACAAGTTGTAAATTAAGTATAAATTTAATCAATTTATGAGAATATACCAGGACTACAAGAAACATGTCCTGCATTCAGTTTACAGAATTTTTTAATTCTAATGACTTCAAACTGCGTTGGTCTTCAAGCTATCAACCTGTCTCTATGAATTATATATACAATTTCTATTAATCACTTTTTATTTTGAACAAAACCTAAAATAATGCCCACATTTTTGTTTGAGTTAAAGCTACATGTACTAGTCTATGTTGGATTTTCAAGTTTCATAATTAATATGCCTCAACAAATGTTTTAAACATGACATTCTATGATAAAAAAAAAAAGGATTTTAATAGCAGGATCTCACCTTATTTAAAATTTATTTACTTCCATATTATTTTACCTGTAAACATTGCTATACACCCATTATCCAGTGTTGTGATATATTCTCTTCTGGAAAATCTTATTTCTATTTTAATAATATTCTGGTTCATAATAAAGGTACATGAATTTTACTTGCAACATTATAATGAAAAATTGAACTGTTTTGACTATTTTTTGCTAAGGAGTTTATATGTCCTTCATCTTTGTGAATTATTTTGTGCATTTTTGTCATATGCAGGAAAAAAGTCTGTAATTACTTAAAAAACTTTTTCTTGAACCCACTTCAATCACCTGGAATCAGCTAATTCCAAATTCAAGAAAATGTACACTTCCAGCGATTTAATTTCAAAATTGTTATCATGGGTCTAAGGATCCCTCTTAATGATGACCATGGTTCCCTTGGCCATGCCATCATCATGTCCTGATCTAATGGTATCTATTCAATCTAATAGGGTATCGATCTATTCATGCTGTCAACCGCATAGCACAGAGGTTACAGCATTTGCTCTAGAATCATAGAGTGAGGAGTTGGCCCTTACCTATCAAGTGAATCCCACTGTCTGAGGGACATGGAGACTTATCCTTTAGATGAGACCGTATAAAAATCAGGTTTCTATGTTGCTGTAGGTGTTTGCGCAAGTACAAGTCTAAATTTGCAGCTCACCATAAGCAAATGATGGTGACTCATTGCGAGTGAAATATTCTTAAAGGGACATTAAACAAACAATCAATCAATCACATCTATCCATATTGCAGAGGAAATTCTGGTTAACTATAAAATATGGAGTTGCATAATAGTGCCATTCTATTCTGGCTTAGAGTGGTTACGTACATCATCATTTGACAATAAAACTACTTTGTTTTGTACCATAAAAAATAATTTATGGTCAACTATATACTATGGTTCTATTTTTGAATCCTAATTATGATCTCAAATACATGTAATGTATAGATGTACACCTGCAGCTGCTCCAAACATTTAATGGAGTAAGTTTCAAAAATTGATCGAAATATACTAGTCTGAGTATAATTTGAGCCATTATTATTGTTTAATAGTTATAAGGAACACATTCTAATTTTCAACCAAGTATGCTTGAGAAACTAATATTTCCAGTAGACATATATAATATTTTAAACATGCTGACTAGAGTCTGTAAAAGTTTTCTGATATCTGCTTTTTAGATTTAATGACAGTTGGACGAATTTGATGGTTATAAGCAGCCATGTGGAATTATTGTGGATTTATTCTACCATTTCACTAAGACCACAAGAGTGACCAAAATAATTTCCATCTTGTTCAAAAATATTCTATCTTGTTCAAGTCCTTTCTGTACTCTCAAATCAATTCCATAACCTTGACCTTGAACCTGACCTTTGACCAAATGAATCTAAATACTCTCTTTGTAAACCTTTATCCTATACATTTAGAATGTATTCAAGTCTGTAGGTTTTCAGGTAAATGTGTCAAACAGTTTACTGATATTTCAATGATCTTGATCTTTAACTCTGTGATTTCAAAATACATGTATGAATTTGTCTCTGTATGTCTAAGCCATCTTTTATCTGTCATGAATAGTTCATGGTTTGGAATTATTGTGACATTAGAACAAATGAATGGAGAAATGGACAGAGTGCTTAAATAAATTAAATAACATTGCTATCAAATATTAGGATTCATGCATCCTTAAAGAAATCATCAAAGTCATAATTTTCACACAGTGATCATGATGATTTCAGAAAATTTAAAAGAATATTTTAAGCTTACATATCTGATATATAATGAAGGTTATTGCAATTCAGCATTGTTCTTTAATTTGGTCAACCTAAATGAAAAAATCTAAGCAAACCAATTCCATCCCATTTTCCACCCAAAAATAGTGCTTTGGTTGTCTCTTTTATTTTGTTGTTTTGTCACATTTTTTTCAGGGAAGAAAATAATTAAACCATCTGCATATTGTGCTCAATCTCTTGGAAATTCAAGTCGTTTGCTTCAAGTGCATGAAAATAAATATTCTCAAACTGAAACAACAAAATTTTCTATCTAAAACCCCCACCCATCCCTTTCAAAATGAAATGGTAATCCCCTTATCATATTCATAACATTTAGAAATAAAAGTGTTTAAAAACTTATGAAATCTAGCTGAGATAAAAAATGACATTTAAATTTTTTGAAAAGTAATTACTTCCCCGATGAAGAAAGAGAGCATTTTCTTGGATTGAAATTTAAAAACAGTCTGGTTAATCAAGGAACAGTTACCCTTCCTTGATCTTATAACTGTATACTTATATTAACTTTTCTCTAAATATCTTTTTAATTAAGAGATGACATAATCCTTAAAACTAATGTTCAACTAACAGAAGACTGTGGGTTAACTTGATTACCTTTCATGCAATGGTCTCCTTCATAAGATACAGACAGACAAATGGGCCAAAAGCAATGATTTCCTACCTGGCTACTTTATGATATTCATAACTAGACAGGTGTGTCTGCCTGAACTTGGTTCATAACTAAGGAATTCTGTTTATACCGAGCTTCTTGTCACTCTGGTCAAGTGATAATTTATTTATTGTTGACTTTATTGTCCGGTACCTCTGGTACCAACCAAAGCCTATGTCCAGAATTCTACTGGAAGCCTTTGTGCATCTTTACTGTCATGACATTAGTTCTGAGAGGCCTGTCTTTGATGACCACCATCTGCAAGGTTGTGTAGATAAAAATAAAGTTTAGTGGACATGTCATGATTTACATTCAAGTCACTAATGGTTTAATACAACTGACATAAAAAATACTTTTGAAAAAAAAGAAAAGAGGTGGAAATTTTATCAATTTGGTAAAAAGACTGATCTGCACAATATTTAAAACCCAATATGATACTTTTTTTTCCCTTCATTTTTGCAGCTTATTTTTAATTACTAAATGCCAACTTCACAATATTTCAGAGGATTTTTGTGATTTTTACCTCCATATTAATAAATAAGCAGTCTGCAGATCCAAAACATCCCCAACCTTATAAGCTTCAAATCACTCACAGATCAATGCAAAGGTTATTGTAAAAGTTAACATACACTCAGATATTAAATATACCACATCCTATTCAATTTGAAGATGATTGCTATGACTGGGTATACCTAAACAGAGGTCATGACATTAACATTTCCCAATCCAAGGTCAAAAGTCAAGGTTAACTCAAAAGGTTGGTATTAATCTTCACATGCTTAACCTTTCATCTGTAACAATTATAAATTCTAAAATAACTTTTAACAAGAGGCCCAGGGGCCACAGCGCTCACCTGAGCACATCGGGCTAGAATTTACGCCCCCCCCCCCCTCCAGGCATTCATCATTTGAACAAACTACACTACCAGAGGATGATTTCATATAAATATCACTAATCATAGCTTTGAAGTACTTGAAAAGAAGATTTTAAAAGGTTTCCCTATATATCCCTATGTAAAACATGGGTCGGCCATTTTGGCCCCACCCTAGCCCCGGGGGTCATGATTTGAACAAACTTGAATCTGCACTACCTGAGGATGATTCCACATGAGTTTCATCTTTCCTGGCCCAGTGGTTCTTGAGAAGAAAATTTTTAAAGATTTTTCCTATATATTCCTATGTAAAACTTGGGTCAGCCATTTTGGCCCCACCCTTGCCCCGGGAGTCATGATTTGAACAAACTTGAATTTGCACTACCTGAGGATGATTCCACATGAGTTTCATCTTTCCTGGCCCAGTGGTTCTGGAGAGGAAGATTTTAAAAGGTTTCCCTATATATCCCTATGTGAAAAATGGGTCGGCCATTTTGGCCCCGCCCTAGCCCTGGGGGTCATGATTTTAACAAACTTGAATCTGCAATACCTGAGCATAATTCCACATGAGTTTCATCTTTCCTGGCCCAGTGGTTCTTGAGGAGAAGATTTTTAAAGATTTTTCCTATATATTCCTATGTAAAACTTGGGTCGGCCATTTTGGCCCCACCCTTGCCCAGGGGGTCATGATTTGAACAAAATTGAATCTGCACTACCTGAGGATGATTCCACATGAGTTTCATCTTTCCTGGCCCAGTGGTTCTGGAGAAGAAGATTTTATAAAGATTTTTCCTATGTATTCCTATGTAAAACTTGGGTCGGCCATTTTGGCCCCACCCTTGCCCCGGGGGTCATGATTTGAACAAACTTGAATTTACACTACCTGAGAATGATTCCACATGAGTTTCATCTTTCCTGGCCCAGTGGTTCTGGAGAAGAAGATTTTATAAAGATTTTTCCTATGTATTCCTATGTAAAACTTGGGTCAGCCATTTTGGCCCCACCCTTGCCCCGGGGGTCATGATTTGAACAAACTTGAATCTGCACTACCTGAGGATGATTCCACATGAGTTTCATCTTTCCTGGCCCAGTGGTTCTGGAGAAGAAGATTTTTAAAGTTTTTTCCTATATATTCCTATGTAAAACTTGGGTCGGCCATTTTGGCCCCACCTTTGCCCCGGGGGTCATGATTTGAACAAACTTGAATCTGCACTACCTGAGGATGTTTCCATATGAGTTTCATCTTTCCTGGCCCAGTGGTTCTGGAGAAGAAGATTTTTAAAGATTTTACCTATATATTCCTATGTAAAACTTGGGTCGGCCATTTTGGCCCCACCCTTGCCCCGGGGGTCATGATTTGAATAAAATTGAATCTACACTACCTGAGGATGCTTCCACATGAGTTTCATCTTTCCTGGCCCAGCGGTTCTGGAGAAGAAGATTTTTTTAAAATGCCATTAATTTTTAACAAATTCATGATTATCTCCCCTTGGAAAAGGACGTGGCCCTTCATTTGAACAAACTTGAATTCCCTTCACCCAAGGATACTTTGTGCCAAGTTTGGTTGAAATTGGCCCAGGGGTTCTTGAGAAGAAGATGAAAATGTGAAAAGTTTACGACGACGACAACAACGACAATGACTACAACGACGACAGACAACGGACAAATTTTGATCAGAAAAGCTCACTTGAGCCTTCGGCTCAGGTGAGCTAAAAAGCATATTCAAGTTTAAATTAAAAATCCATTCAAGTTAATTGAGTTTGTTCATACAACTTTATCTAAATTAATGTCTGTATGAAGTAAAATATGGCAGATGACTTGAATTTATATTTAAATACAGTCCAAATATTTCTAAAATTAGATTGGGCAAAAGTTCTACGCAGCATTGTTAAGGCTTGAAAAAGGGGGCGAGGCCTAATTTATACAGGAAAAATTTACTGTGACGTCACATAAAAATATGACTTTTATGTATTTCTCATAATACCTGAAAATGAAATAATTTGCAACTTTTAACTGTAATAGCATAATAAACAACAATAATACTTGTCTATGCATTAAAAAACGTGCTAGTTAAATCCCATGTAGCTGGTTATAAACAAAGCACTGATAGTGATGAACTTGTAAACATAACGTCCTTTTGGTAAAAATGATGTATTTCATGTGCTGTGAGTGGTACATTGAGGAATTTTTTAACAATGAAAAATGTGTTTTATTATTCAACAGAATATTATTTACAAGTTTTAAATAGTCGATTAATACCAATGTATATCCTTTGTTTAGTGCGAGTATTTATTATCTATCAAGAGAATGTATTTTATTAATTATGTCGTGTTTTTATGTGCAGATTACGTACATTTTACAATGAGATGCCTCATAAAATCGTACTTTCGCAAGGGCATACACTTAATAGATTTTAACCATTTTTTGATTATAGATAAAGGATATTTTTCTTAACTTGAAAAGTGCTGCTGCTTTCTTTAAATCGAGGGCGTGATTTTATAAATACACAAAATATTTGGTAAGTCAAACATATTTCGACATTGGCTTATTTACCTGAAAATTTCACTATTAAAAGGTGAATTCTATTCAAAGCAGCAGCACTTCTCAGAAACTACAAAGTATGCAGAAACAATTAAAAGCTTGAATTTTTAATTTCAACTAGGGTATGCCCTTGCGATATTGAAATTTGTTCATAACCTACATTCAGTATACAAGCATTCATCACGTGACTGTCCATCGATGGGACCAAACTTCATACAGTGTATAGAGTGGGTTATACTATGCTATTTCCATTAAGTTCTGTGATAAAAAAAACAGCTTAATTAAAATAAATTAAGTTTTTTAAAAATTCCCATTTTTTTGGACATCTATTTTCCGTTGATTTCTCATAGTAGGCCTTAACAGTGCTGCGTGAAAACTTGGTATGGCTGTTCCCTACATGTATTCTAAATATTCTAAATATATAGTGAACATTTTCAATATATATGTTTGTGAATTACTTTTATGAAAAAATCATTTAAAGTCATCATAACCATACATATTTATAATGAACTCAGGTCAAAGGCCAAGGTAAGCTCTAACGTAATATTTTGTCAGAAATATAGTATTTTAATTTATCTATACATACGAGGGTTGTCCGTAAAGTTCGTGGACAACATTGATAATTACTGACAAACATTGATAAGATACATGAAACTATTATTTTCATTAAATTCATGTTTCATTTTATTATCATGCGAGTTTTCAACAAAAACAAAGCACAAAAAGTTATATTTTTATCAGATTAAAAAAGACACACACTCATACCCGGAACACTAAATAGAAAATTCTTGATGTTATCTGACGTCAAAAGCATAATATGAGTACATGTATCTTTTCTCAATATAGTCACCGTTTCACTCAATACATTTGTTATGTAGCTTAACCAGTCATAAATATGTGCACAAAATGTTCAGGTTTCATATGTAAATTTTTTTTTTAATAATGCCTGTCTCATATCCTGCAATCCTCTAACCTCTCTCCGCGTAAAAACGATTTTATTAATGGAAATAAGTTTAAGTCACGTTTACTTACGAAGTTCATTTTTTACACACTGCAATCTCGGAATGATTTTCCTTCGCGCATGTCATCCTGTAAACTGTTCCTTCCGTCCGAAAATATTATATATCACTTAAATACTAATGCACGGCTCCTTTTACTATGTTTTCCCGATTATTTACAAAATTTATTTGTCTCTGTAGGTGTTTATTTGATGTCTACGCAGAATGTTATCACTGCTCACTGCTCCACCTATTCCGAAAACGTCCCTTTTTTGAACAATTCCGATCCGTTTTAATATGTTCTAACTTTGATTGCTCAGCCATTTTACAACTTTGGATGTTCAAATTTTGCAGGTTTGAAGTGATAACTTTTATCAACATCATAATATAAAAGTCATCCAGACTTCTGCAGAATTTTATAAAATACAAATGAAATTTATAAAGTGATAAATATTTTTTTAAGTAAAATTTTGCAGTGCTCCGGGTCTCCATACCAAGTCTTATTATGAAGTCATAATTGTAATTAAACATTTGAAATTGAATCAGATTTTACATTTCTCAGTTCACATTTAGTAAAGGATTAAAAATATGATAATAATAAATATCAATGACGCAACCTTTATTCAATTCTTAGCTTGTCCACGAACTTTACGGACAACCCTCGTAAAATCAGAGTTGTCATCTTCATCAATTTCTTTTTAAGGGTTAAAGGTCAACTCTCATGATGACAGTTGCAATAATTTATACAGTGCATCACAAAAAACTTGCAACACATTATTTTCACTAGCTAATAATATTAATAGTTATACTCTTATAAAGTATCTTTCTATATATTTATTACTATCAAA